ACCTGTTAGCACCGCAGATGTTATTATCCATTTTACAGATGAGGAAACCGAGGCTTAAAAAAGGTAAAATAACACTACTAAAAAGTGATGGAATGGACAAGAACCCTTGTCTGTTTGGTTGCACAAACTACCTTAACCATCATGCTAGTCTGAGAATGCTGTTAGATTGGACAGGGGAAAATCGAATAGATAAGAGAGAATTATGTCTGTAAGTTTCTGGAAGGAATAAGGAGGAAGGAGTTACAAATAATATAAAGAGAAGGGTTAACCTTGTAAAGACCATGCTAATTTTTTCTTCTGAGGGCAGAAGAGGAGGAGAAAGGAATAAACAAAACTAGAGAGGAAATTGAATGATTTTGCATTGATCTCTTCAGAGGAGCAGAGGAAGCAGGAAAGGCCCTCTGTGTGTGATCACTTTGAGATTTTCCATGAAGTGGGTGAGGTCAACTGATGCAGGAGTGAAGCACTTGAATCATTTTAGAGAATTGGAAAAGCTTCTGGTGAGCGGCAAAAAGCGGTGTTTAAGGGAATGCACTGATGCAGGTGAGGGTGTAGATGGTGTTAGAGAGCTCAGTTTCAGGGCGGTGATGATCAGCAGGGGCCCATTGTTCTATCTGTGGGCCCGAGGCAGCTGACATCAAAATAGGCCATGGTTGAAACTGGAGGCAGGTAAGGCTGACAAAGATGGTGGTCTCAGAGGAGAGACCATAATGAGGGTACAGAGGAGGCTTGGTATCAGAAACTTCAAGAGATGAAAGATGAAGAGGTCAGAGGAGGGAGATCCTCAATTTACATCTGTACTTATATGGATGAACATCATAGAGCTCATTGCTCTATTCTCATGTAATCTCTGGAGGAAAAGTGGCTTCTGTAATGTGAACATGCTTAATTTACAGGGCTAGTTCTGATACTCTCTTACCGAACGTTATAAAGGCATTATTTTATACCACCTAGCAAGTACCTTGTCTACCTACTTTGTAACACTGATGGATGCGTGTTTGTGCTTCTCTAAGCTTTTGAGGATGCGGACCTCAGCTTGGTTGTTCCATCAGCTCTCTTTGCTGCCGTGGGGACAGCTGGCCAGAGGTGTACCACTGCGAGGCGCCTGGTGAGTGTGTCTGTACAGGCACGCGAGGTTGTCCTGCTCTTCAAACCATACATTTCAACAAATGGTACTGTTAGGGAGGTGTCATAGAAGTGCTGCTGGAAACGTGTAATTCCTAGATGTGGTTGGCAGATAGGGGGCCGTACGCTCGCTTGTCTGCTCGTGGCCGATGTTGACCATCAACCAGGGACTCGGCCTTACTCTCCAGCCTAAGCTAAACATGGTCTCACACTAATCAATTGGACTTGGACTGGGAGATTTGACCATTTTCAGTCTCATACCAAAAGCAATCTAAACAAAGTCCAATGTCACTTAGAGAATAAAACAAGTTAAAATTTCGAATATTCTAAAATTATTATCCGAAAGATATACAGCTTTGGCTTTTTTATAAAAACATTTTAAATACTTTAATTTTTGGCCTCTAAGTCAAGTCTCAGATTCGACTTAATGTGACATGGTTTATTGAAAAACAGATGACTCTATGTGTGAAATAAATAAGACATGTTAATAGTAAGTACTTGTAAGATGCCGTTTAGCTGGATTTCAGTTTTGTTTCAGATACAACCTTGATTTTCATGACCCTCGTAGTACTGAAAAACTGTATTACAACCAAACAAGTTTTGATTAGGTACAAAATTTGGCTACATTTGCCATTTTTAAGTTATTGCTATTGAGTTTTCCTCCGGTGATTAAAATAAAAAACAGTTTATTATTAAATTATAGAGGAATTGGATTTAGGTTTTTACTCTCACCCACAATGAGTATGAATAAATTCTTTATAAGGCTGACATAAGATAAAGGGTATGTGGATATTAAGTCTTTACTTTTCCCATAACATGTTATATTTATTTTTTCCTGTATTTTTACAACAAACGAATATCTTTTGTTTTTATGTTATTACAATTACAGTTGAAGCTTTCAAAAAAAATCTCAGATATGATTTTCACAAAGTAATTACAATTTATTAAATTTGTTCATCTTAAACATTTATTATATTAATGCTAAGAAGAAAATGGGTACTTTAAAAGATTATAATCTTAATTACATGCTAAAAGGGCAAATGACATAAAAGAAGCATTTCTCTATTCAGCCGATTTTTATTTTTTTGTGTGTGTCTTAGAGCAAATATACATAGCTATGCTTTATATTTAGTGTTAAAAATTAGAGGATATTATTAGTCTTTGCCCAGATTGATTTTCGTAGGGACAGTTAAGTGATATGTAGAAAAATCCATTGCATGACTAGTCTTCTCCATGACTGGTTCTCATAATGCCAGTGCATTTGCCACATGGAGACCAACTCAGAGAGTGGATGGCTTGACAAGGTTATCATCACCACTGAGAACAGAGCGTGGAACTCACATCCTACCTAGAGTGAGCCTGAGGCATGTCCTCACCTCAAGGCCTCACTCTGGAGATCTTGGCCTGAGACTGACAGCATATGGTTATCCAGTAGAGACAGACTGACCAGGTCTGTTCACCATGATTCCTATGGTTGTAGTGTGGGGCAGGTATATTTGAGGTCCCCTGCTACTTACGATGTCGAATGCTCTAGAAAAGAAACAGTCATAATTGTTTTCTTAACCTTAGCCATACAGGTCCTTAGAGACCTGATAAAGACGTGGCTTTTGATTTTATTCTAACATCCACCTAGAGGAAATTATTTTCTTCATGTAGTTAATATTAGAATTAGAAATTCTGTAATTACAAAAATAAACATATACTTCTATTTGCATGTTTTCAGAGATCACAGTGTTTCAAAAATTAAGAACTATAAATCAGTACTATTAAAAAATTGTACATTGTTAACAAATATCTACATTTATTTGACTATTCCCATGCCTGTTTCTTTCTTTGCTTAGTTTTTACATGAAAGTGTACATGATGAAGTTGTAAATAGACTTAAAAAGGCCTATGCACAGATCCGGGTCGGGAACCCATGGGACTGTGAGTATCTGGTTGATTTCAAAGGTGTTCCTTTTTGACAGCTGGTGCTACAAGTGTTTCTGATCTTCCCCCTACCCTTTCCTGAGAGGCCTAAGGACATATGAAGCAGATCATAGGACATTTAGGGTGACATGTCTGCTCCTAGGTGCTCCTGAGTGCTCGATGGGATATGGGGGGTAAGCCTGGGAGAATGTGTTCAGATGGGGTGAGTTTGACAAGCTTTTCTCTTCACTACTACTACCCTTGCCTCAGCCACCACCATCCTGTCTCATGGAAGGCTGCAAGAGTCACCAAACTGACTTTCCTGCTTCTAATTCTGCCTTCCCCAGTAACCAGAGTGACTTTTAAAAATATGATTAGATTAGATAAATTCTTGCTTAAAAAACTCTAGTGACTTCTCATTGCTCTTTGACTAAAACCGAGATTCCTTCTGACTTTCTCTTTAGTAGACTCACAGTCTTTCTTGATCTCGCCTCTGCCACCTCCCTTGCCCACCTTCTGACCCCTGTGTACCATTTGCCCCCGTGCGCCAGGGGTTCCAGGCTCTGTCCTGCTCTCTCTGCTGGAAATGTTCTTCACGCACCTCTTCCCACGACTGGCCTCCTGCCACAATGCCACCTCCTCCCTGAGGCCTGTCTAAGTTGTCCTTCTTCCCCTGAACCCAGGATCACCTTTAAAGCTCTGCTTTCCAGCAGCCACACACAGGGCAGCATCAGTCTCTCCCCTTTAAATTGCACACCACCTGCTGAGCCTGCGGAGTTCTTAGAGAGTGATCACACTGTCGTGAATAAACAGGTCCTGTATTTTTAATGCAGTGCTCTGATGAATCGATCGCCAGTCCTCTGAACCAAGGGTTGACAAAAGATTTGGCCCGCCACCCGTTTCTGTAAAGAAAGTTTATCAGGATACAGCCCCACCCACTCGTTTCCTGTGGCTGCTTTCACAGTACAGTGGCCAAATTGAGTAGTTGTGGCAGAGACCACATAGGTCTTGCAAAGCTTTAAATATTTCCTGTCTGGCCCTTTACAGGAAAAGACTGTTGCTCTAAACTGTGAGGCTATATGAAGGGATCAGTGTGTTCATTCGGACAGCTGTTAGGATAATGATGCCATTTAGGGTGAAATGAAGAACATTCCTTTTTCTCTCCAGCTAATGTTCTCTATGGACCACTCCACACCAAACAGGCAGTGAACATGTTTCTTGGAGCAGTGGAGGCAGCAAAGAAGGAAGGCGGCACAGTGGTCTATGGTGGCAAGGTAATGACAACTCTGAGCTCAGTAGTGACAGATTTTTTTACCTCCTTTCTCTGAGGCACAAGTAGGGCTCTGGACAAATTGGTGAAGGGTCCCCAACTGCCATCTTTCTTCTCTCTTTTGTAAAGGAGAAATAACACGTTTTAAAGAATGACAGCATAAACTGCATGGAAAATTTCTGGAAGGGCACACAAGAATCTCAGAGCCATGGTTACTTTTGAATTGAGGCTCCAGGAATTTGTATGGAAGGGAGACCTCCTTCTCATGATATAGTAGAAGACTTTGTATTCAGAGGATTTAGAATTTGTATTTAGTGATTATTTTAAAAGGTCAATTAAGACAAGGAATCAAAAGAAAAATACACACTAAAAACATTTTAATTTAACACAGGTAACTATATTTGTTTGATTCTTTAGATGTAGAGTCAAAGCATTTTCTTCATGTATGGTAGGAATTTGTGTTCGTCCTTGCATGAGCTGTAGCAATAACTTATTATGAGTCTTGCAAAGCTGACAGAAGACCTCTCCTCCCTAGTTGTCCTACCATTGACATACATACCCACATCTCATTAGATTGTCGTATAAGTGGATATTTGTGTATTTTTTGTTACTTACGTTGAGTTTTTTTTCTGAAGCACTCAACTTAATCTTTATAGAAATAGCTCTTTTTTCCCTTTGTGTAATACTGAAGTAAGTAATGCAGTCTAGCATTCCAATAACAGATATAGCTGCCATGCTCAGGAATGGGAGTAAGTACAGCTGACTCTTGGTAAACGTACAGCTCAGAGGGTGAGGGCAGAATTACGCAAACGCATTGGAGAGCTGACCACCATGTAGCAGCTCGCTGTGGGCATGAGAATATTTCATAGAAGGAAAAGCGTTGTTAGTGGACATGAACTAATAATTTGCTTATGTGGCAGTTGGTTAAGAGAGTGTCCACAGTGTACCCTTGTGGAGCTTTTGATCTTCGTACAATGTGCATTAGTTTGCCAGGGCTGCCCTAACAAAATATCACAGACTGGGGGGCTGAAACAACAGAAATTTATTTTTCTCACTGCTCTGGAAGCTGGTAGTCTAAAATCAAGGTGCCGGCTGGGTTGGTTTCTAGCGAGGCCTCTAGTCTGGCCATGAAGTGTCTTCACATGGCCTTTCTTCCATGTGTGGAAAAAAGGTCTCCAGTGTCTCTTCTTCTTTTTTTTCCATCTTTATTGGAATATAATAGATGATTAGTTACTCGTATTTACATTGTACAATTCGATGAGTTTCTTTTCAATTATAGTTGGCATACAATAATATACCAGTTTCAGGTGTGTAGCATAGTGATCAGAGATCCACATAACTTGCACAGTGATCGCCCCACTAAATCTAGTCCCCCTCTTCCCCCTTACATATTTATTACATTATTAACCATCTCCCCTATGCTGCACTCTACATCTCCATGTCTATTCTGCAACTATCCATTTGTACCTCTTAATTCCTTTGCCTTTTTTTTTTTGTCCCCCCAACACTCTTCCCATCTAGTATCCCTCATAGTCTCTGTATCTATGAGTTTATTTTCACTTTTGTTGTTTTTGATTTTGTTCTTTAGATTCCACATGTATGTGAAATCGTGATATTTGTCTTTATCCGACCCATTTTATTCAGCGCAGTACTCTCTAGGTCCATATTTGTCTTTATCCGACCCATTTTATTCAGCGCAATACTTTCTAGGTCCCTCTTTTCCCATCCCCTTCCTTTTAGTCTGTGCGTGTCTTTTAATCTGAAGTGAATCTCTTGTAGGCAGCATATATGTAGGGGTCTTGTTTTCTTATCCATTCATCTTCTTATGAGGACATCACTTCTGACGGATTAGGACCCCACCCATGTGACCTCATTTAACTTTTAAGTATCTCCTTAAAGGCTTTATCTTCAAATTCAGTTATACTGGGGAGTTAAGACTTCGACATATGAATTTGGAGTGAGTGGGGAACACATACAGTCTATAACACAGTGGGTATAGATTACGTATCTTAGTTATATAAATTTAAAATAATTACTTGAAACAATGTCTTTTCAACATAACTTGGTTGTGCCACATGGCACAGCTCTCCATTCTTGACCCCCCCCCTTTTTTTTCTATTTTTCTCTGACCAACGTAGAGCCAATAGGTGGCATAGAAAAGTTTTATTCATGTTGAGGAGTTATCTTGGAGAAATAATTCACCTATAAATGGTGTTTACTTTTTCTCATGAGTATAGGCAAAGATTGTGCCCTCTGACCCCAAGTACTAGAAAATAAAATGCCTCTGTTCTTTTTATTTTATTTCTCTGCTGAAGGTTATGGATCGCCCTGGAAATTATGTAGAACCAACAATCGTGACAGGTCTTGCCCATGACGCATCCATTGCACACACAGAGACTTTTGCTCCGATCCTTTATGTCTTTAAATTCAAGGTAAAGATGGATTCCGTCTCTCTTTTCTCTAGTTTAATGACACAAATGAGAAGACTAGGGGAAAATGAAGGCATATGAAGTTTCACTCGATTTGCTTTTAGAGGGTTTAGAAAGTCACTCTGATTAGTAGCAATTTGAAAGTTAAGGATAAAATATGATGGGAGGAACACTTTAAACTGTAGAGCATGTCAAGCCAACTACCAGGGAACTCGAGATGAGCAGAGAACCAGCGTTGCACTTCATGAAGACGGTGGCCTTCATCTCCTATGTCACCTGATTCTGTGCTACATGGGCCTAAAATCGGCTTCTACACAGAAGGACTACGTAGTTTCATAGTTCAAGAGCTAAGTGTGAGCAGACAAATTGAGAAGGATATAGGGTAACCCAAAGATCTGCAATTATGGGCTGTGGAAGTTTTAGCAGATGAAGATCACTAGGTCTCCTTCCCCAGCATGAGGCAGGTCCTTGCCTCGCCAGACAAGATTTAGAGGTCAAGTCAGGGTTTGAATGCGCTACGATTAACAGTTGAAGAATGAGAATTGCACCTTGTTGCTATTACATAATTGCATTTTAAGAATCTTGCTTTAAATCGTCTATTGTTGTTTCATATATGGTAACTAGACAGTATAATTTCACGTTTTATAGTGTGTATATGTGTGACTATGAACTTTTGAGCAAATTATTTAGCTTCTGGGCCTCCAGTGCCTAATTCGTAAATTGGGGTAGTGGAAAACCTGTGTCACAGGGTGGAGATTAAATAACTAAATGTTTGCTAAGTGCTTAGGTCAGTGTGGTGCATGTATTAAGAGTTCAATAATATTAACTATTACATGTAGTAGATTGAATGGAAGAATATACTGATCATTCTCAAAGTACAATTAGGGAGAAAACTCCCCAAAACACTAGGAGAAACAGATTTAGTCAGATGTTTACTCTTTAGTTTCCTTTTTTGCACTAAAATTATACTTGCACATCTCACAAAATGGGTTTAACATCAGTAAACTTTGACCTGAACACTTTGTCATCTAACAGTTTCCAATGTTCGTCCTTTTAGAATGAAGATGAGGTCTTTGCATGGAACAACGAAGTAAAACAGGGACTTTCAAGTAGCATCTTTACCAAGGATTTGGGCAGAATCTTCCGCTGGCTTGGGTATAATAACATTGGGTATTTTTGAAAACTTACGTAAGTCTGTGTGGTGGACTTTAAAAAAAGAATACGACACCATCACAGTCAATCCATTTTTTGGCATTGAGAGTCTTAGAGGTTTTGATTGGGTTTTTATTTATTTGTTTTTGTTTTTTACTTTCCTGTGCATTGCTCTCACAATGGCTTCCGTTTTACACACAGACCAAAAGGATCAGACTGTGGCATTGTAAACGTCAATATTCCAACAAGTGGGGCTGAGATCGGAGGTGCTTTCGGTATGTAGAATCGTTTCTCCTTTTCCACGTTGGGCAGCATATTACACTACGAGGGCTGCCATAGCAAAATACCACAGACTGGATGGCTTAAACAATAGAAATTAATTTTCTTGCAGTTCTGGAAGCTGGGAAATCCAAGATCAAGTTGTTGGCAGATTTGGTTTCTCCCGAGGCCTCTCTTTCTGGCTTGTAGATGGCCACCTTCCTACTGTGTCCTCATGTGGCCTTTTTTTCTGTATGCACATCCCTGGTGTCTCTTCCTCTTATAAGGACACCAGTCCTATTGGCTTAGGACCTTACCCTTATCACCTTATTGAATCTTAATTACCTATGTAAAGACCTTATCCTTAAATAGAGCTACATTCTGAGGTACTGGAGGTTTGAGTCTGAGCATATCAGTGAGGAAGATGGGGGAAGGTAACCAGGGCACATTTGAGTCTGTAACAGGCAGCAAAGGAAAAGCAGTAGTAGATCTTAGAAAAGTTTGACCAAGAAACTGAAATAATAGTCTTATCTGGTCCAACATGCTTGAGAAAGCTTATGTTTCATATACAGAGTTATTGTTCAAGGTCCTCTATTTTATTCTTGGATGTAGCATCACATTAGTGCAGGGCCCTCAGCCTGAGATGTGTGAACTCCTGAAATGATGGTATCTACTGTTTTCCGGGGAGAGGGTCTAAGAGCCAAAAAAGATTAAGAACCCCTGCTTTAAGGCCAGAAGATTTCATGCGAAAAATTCTGGTTTTTATTTGCAAAGTGGGCATAGGAAATGTTAAACGTTATCTTTTATCTTAGATAAAATAATAAGTTGTTTCTTTTCACTGAACCCTGTTTCTCTTTTGTATGGTTTGAGCGCTGAGTGCTTAAACTTAAAAAGAAAACCCTCCCTAACAATCATATTAAGTTTTGATAAGTTAGTATTTCTTTTTAAAAATTATCCAAAGAATAGTAAAAGATTGCCTTGGTTTTTAAAATATGTTGGAAGCAAAACAAATATGCATTAATACCTGCAGAAGTTTAAATAATTAAAGGCATTCTTTTATATATTTTAGACCAAGCACTACAATTACTATTCAGTGTGCAGATTTCGATTAAAGATTCCTGCTTTCAGTTCAGCCCTTCACCCCTGCCCCACCACTATTTAGTGGCCACATGTGTTTGTCTGCTCCTTATGTAGGCTTTTAATCCCCGTGTCCAGCCCATGCTTTCTTTGTACAATTGACTCTTCATTTCAGCCCCCACAATTGATTTTTAAAGTTTTATTTTATTTTATTTTTTATAGGTGAGGCAACCCTTGGTTGATCTCGCAGATTGCAAGGACCTCCTGACAGATATAGATCTCTTATTTTTTATTTAATTTTTTACGCCTGCAGCGCCTGGTCTTCCGAGGTGGTCTCCCATCCAAGTACTAACCAGGCCCAACCTTGCTTAGCTTCCGAGATCAGACGAGATCGGGCTTGTTCAGGGTGGCATGGCCGTAGACTAAAGTTTTAAAAAAATCTTATGATGGAAAAAGCAGTTCTGCCTTCTTTCTTTCTTTCCCAGAGGCAGCCACTTCGAGATTCTTACTAAAAGCAAGTAAATTTACCTTTGAATTTACTTCCATTTTTCTAAGAGGCGTGCTTTAACTGCTCTTTTTTCACAGAATTAGGCGCTATGTCTTGATCCTCTGTTATACTAGCTTAACCTACCCCCTCCT